CCTCTTCCTCTTCACCATTCTTCTCATCTCCCCTTCCCGTGCTCCCCCAGCGCTGGAGGCCCTAGGGGAGGTGGGGGTGGGGAGTAGGCTGCTTGCCTCACCTCCCCTGGCCCTCCCCACCCCCTCAGCAGTAGTGGCTGGGGCTGAGTCAGTGCTGCCTGGTTCTCTCCTCCCACCAGCTCCTCTCGTCTCCTTGGTCAGCGAGGCGCTAGGCATGTGGACGCTTTCTCCAGAGGCCAGGGGTCTCACACATGTTATTCCAGGCCTGGGCCGGGCAGGGTGCGTGGAGGGCCCGTACGGGGTCTGGTCTCAGCCACTTAGCTGCGTGTGACTTTGGGTGAACATCCCTGAACTTTCTGAGCTTCAGATGCTCTGCATCTAAGATGAGCACTGCCTCCTCAGGGCGTGTGAGGACTCATGAGGCCACATTCCCACAGGGCCTGCTGCATAACAGGTTCTTCATGCTGGAGGCTGTGGGGATCATCAGGGCAACGCCTCCGGAAGCCTTTCCTGGGAGGAGCGCCCATGGGGATTTGTCCCCTGGGCCACCGCAGGTGTGCTGTCCGTGGAGTTTCTGGATCATGGGCTCTGTGCCAGACATCAGGCAGGGGCTGAGTTCTTGAGAGACTATGGCCCCACCTGGGGTTGTCCATGAGCTCTCAGGAGGCAAATGAGAACAGTATCCTCTCTCCTAGCTCAGTGTGTCCTGAGGTTTCTGTAGGGTAAAATCCTGGGAGACTTCCTGTAGGAGGAGGAGGCATCAGGTTAGGCGTTCTCACAGGAGGTCGGAATAGGTGAAGCAGGTGGGAGAAAAGGCACAGGCAGAGTCTGGGAGGTGGGGAAGTGGCAGTTGTGTGGCAGCAGCAGCATACCTGGTGGGGAACCTCCAATGCAGGGACATGGTTATAATACCTGGTTGCTGTCTCCAAGGGCATCCTGGCTAGTGGAGAGGTCAGACCAGCTACGTGAAACACCATGGCATCAGCCAGCCAGCTGGGCTGATGACCACAAGCTACTCAGTCCTAAGTAGTGGGCCCTGCAGAGGTGAGGGGGACCTCCTGGGCCTCTTCCTGCCATGGGCTAGCATCATTCATTCATTCAAAGGCGATCTATTGAGCTCTGCAGGCACCCTTGTCAGAACTGAGGGTAGGTACCACAACAAACAAAACAGACCCAAGTCCCTGCCCATGTGCAGTGGAGAAAAACAACAGGGTCAGGGTGGGGAGGACTGGGTAAGGGTTGCAATCTTAGAAGGGAACATTGGAGCAGATACTTGAAAGAGATGAACAGCACCCCTAGATATTTGAGAGAAAAGCATTCCAAGTAGAGGGAACAGCATGTGCAAACGGCCCTGAAGCTGAAGTGTGCTTAGTGTGATCCAGGAGCTGCTGAAGGCCAGTGTGGTTTGAGTGGTGAGGGAGGGTCAGCGGTGATGGAGGTGAGAGGTGAGGAGGACTTTGAAGCCCATTGCACTACTATGGAGACCCTTCGAGGATTTTTTAAATACGTATTTTTTAAGTTGAGGTTTAATTTACTCATTTTAAGCAGACGGTTTGATGACTTTTAATCTAAACATACAATTACGCAGCCATTACCACAGCCCAGTTTTAGAACATTTCTTCCCCCCAGGAAGTTCTCTCATGTGTGTTTTCAGTCAATCCCTGGTCCCACCACCAGGCAACTGCTGATCTGCTTTCTGTCTCTACTTTTGAAATTTTATATGAATAGAATCATACAATATATAGTCTTCTTTGTCAGATGTCTTTCACTTAGTATAAGACATTTAGAGGTTCATTTAGAGGTTCATCCATATTTGTTGTATGTGTCAGTATTTTCTTACTATTGCTGAGTGCTGTACTATTGTATAGATGGACTGTTTGGATTTATATATACAAATATATATTGATTTCAGAGAGGAAGGGAGAGGGAGAGAGAGAGAGAGAGAAGCATCAACAATGAGAGAGAATCACTGACTGGCCGCCTCCCGCATGCCCCACACTGGCTGGGGATCGAGCTTGCCACCTGGGCATATGCCCTGACCAGGAACCAAACCACGACCTCTCGGGACCTCCCCGATCACAGGTTGATGCTCAGCCACTGAGCCACGCCATGTTTGTGCGTTCACCAGTGGATGGACCTTTGGGTTTTTACCATTCTTTGGTTATTGTGAATAAAGTTGCTATGCACATTTAAAAATAAATCCTTGTATGGATATATGTGTTTATTTCTCTTGGGTGTTTGGGTTGTATGGTAGGTAGGTATGTATCTAAGTTTTTAAGAAACTGCCAAACTGTCTTCCAAAGTGGCGGTACCGTTTTTCATTTCCACCAGCAACGTGCGTGTGCAGTTTCTGTGCCTCCCATCAGCACTTGATATTGTCCGTTTCCCTGCTGCTAAGCTTTTCTAATTGGTGTGAAGTGGTATCTCTCTGAGGTTTTGGTCCTTGTTGCCTAGTCACTGATGATGTTGCTCATATTTCCATGTGCTCACTGCTGTTTGTGTATCTTCCTTGGTTAGTGAGATGACGCTCAGCTTTTTGTTCATGTATCATTAGGTTGTCATCAGTGAGTCGTAAGAGTTCTTTATATGTTCTGAATACAAGTCTTTTATTAGATATATGATTTGTAGTTTTTTTTCTCTGGGAGGGTCTTGGGCAGAGAAGGAGCCATGGGCCTGGGAGTGGGTCCAGGCTTCAGTCCCAGCAACACACTCTTCTCTGCCTCAGGCATGTGGGCTGCATCAAGATTTCCTGGGTCAGAGGGTCCCCTGGCTAAGCCACAGGAACAGGAAGTTTGTTTTGGCCACCCACAGAGTGGCCACCCATTCGCTGTCATCAGAGACCACCCTCACATGCCCTTGTTGGCTCAGCGCGTCCCTGTCAGGCTCCGGGGTGCCAACGCAGCCTAACCAGGCTCACAGAGACGTCACAAGCTATGGGGCAGTTCCCCAGTGAACGAGCTTCCTGGAGGACCCGATTCTGGGGAGCAAGGGAGCAAGCAGCCTTATGCTCGAGCCTGACCAAGTGTCTCCAGGCCCCAGAATTCCCGGGGTGTCAGAGTCGTGGGTCAGGGGACTGTGGTGTTGGGTTTGCAGGTTCTGGGGCCAGGTCAGGGTCAGCAAGAATGCCCCATGCTCCTGTCGGCTCACCTGGGCATGTAGGTGCAGCACTGTGTGCAGTGGGGGAGCTTATTCTCTGTTCGTATGGCTGGCAGCCCCATGTAAGGAGCCGATCCTTCCCATGGCTGATCTTCCCAGGACAGGCAGTAGTTGCTGGCTCATCTTGCTGACCTGAGAGCCGTTCTGAGGACACTGTGTATTCCTGTCGTGAGCATTGTAGGTTGGCTTCTGTATTAGGACTTTTGTGGTTGCAGGCAATGGTGTCCCTCAGATAGGTTTAGGCAAAAAGAGGAAATGATGCGTGTGTGTGTGTGTGTGTGTGTGTGTGTGTGTGTGTGAGAGAGAGAGAGAGAGAGAGAGAGAGAGAGAGAGAGAGAGAAAGAGAGAAAGAGAGAGAGAGGATGTGTTGCCTGATGTAAGTGAGGGCCTCAAGTGACGGTCTTCAGGCTCAGCTGGATCCAGGCCCTCCAAGTCCAGCCACTCAGCTCTGCTTTCTCTGTGTTGGCATCGTTCCTGGAGACTCTCCGAGGCTGTAGCTGGGGTGGCCCTGCAGTTACTGGCGTCCATCCCACACCCAGGCAGCCCCGCGGCGAGGAGAGCACCTCTTCCTAAAGGTTCCAGCCAGAGCTCAGGCCCTGATGCTCCTCGGGACACGTGACCCCCCCTCAGCGAACCACTAGGGCTCTGACCAGGTCTGCGTCGTGTCTACTCCAGGAGTGTGTGCGGGGTCGGCCCCCATGGACATGTGGATCCAGAGTGGAGAAAGTTCTCTAAGGGGTAATGTTCCGTGACCAGGGGGGATAGGATATGGCTGGACAGGCGCAGGGTTTGGCATCCCTGACTGTCGGAGTGGAGTGCCCAGAGGCTTCGGTTTCCCCTCCTCAGGTCCTGAGGGGGTCAGGCTTTCATGCAGAATCCTCCATTCGCCCGTGGTGCTCTGCACTCCCTCTCCCCACTGGACGGTGTGCTCCCGAGGCAGAGGCCCACGGCTCGGGCACGACGGGGCCAGGCCCGCAGTGTGGCCTCTGTAGACATGGGTGTAAGAGGGTGTGCACACAGGACAGTGGGGGAGGAGGCCAGGAGACGGTGGCCTGTCCTCTATGCCTTGGAGACTGGAGGCTTCCCCTCTCAAGGGTCCCCTTTGTAAAATGCTAGTGCCCCGTGCACCCCGGACACCCGCCCTTCCCTTTTTAGTCATAGAGGCAGGGAGCTGTAACGGTGGGAGGGTAGGCAGAGGCACGTGAGTCCGTGCTGGCGAAGGACGAGGCCTCTCTGTGTGCATGTCCCTGCACCGGTGGAGTGGGCAGTGCTGGGAGGGTGAGCCCAAGAGCGGGAGTGAGGCCTGTGCGGCGAGGCAGAGCAATGAGCTGGTTGATGACATTAGATGTTGCTTTGTCAGTCCGCATCAGGAAGGGTGTGGGTTATTGGCTAGTTTTAGAGAGTCTGGGGGCTGATGGAAGGGAATTCATTGGGTTGCCGTGCATGTCAGAATCCACACCAGCCTCTGCTCTGTGGTGAGGGACACACTCAGCTGTTGGGGGCTGTGCAGGCCCTCTTGACCTTGGCCTGGGGTTTCTGGGGTTCATACAGCATTGCTGTAGACCCTAAGCCAGTTTGCTTTTGATTCTCGCCTCCTGGGCCCAGAAGGTGGGCAAAGAGAACGTGCCCAACCTCTGAGTCCAGCAGACCAGGACACTTGTTCAGGCAGCACCACTGCCACACTGGGCCCACTCTTACTGCCGCTGCTCTGTGCCTCAGTTTCCCTATGTAGGAGAAGAGGGGTGATGGTGGTCTGTGCCTCACAGTGTTGGCAGTGTTGGAGTCCCGCGGTGTTGGTATCGGGGTGACCTTATGATGTGATCACTCTTATTCTCTACCCGCAGGTGAGTGACGATGGCAGGGAGAACGTGACCTGCACGGTCCCTTTTCCACCCACTGAGTGGCACCACCATGCAGAAGCCCAGCGGCCTGAAGCCCCCCGGCCGTGGGGGAAAACACTCGAGCCCCATGGGCCGGACGTCTGCTGGGTCAGCCTCAGCCTCTGCCACGGCGGCAGCCACTGGCTCCAAGGAAGGTGCGCAGGGCCAAGGGTAAGGGGCTGGGTGGGGCGTGGATCTCCCGGAAGAGCCGCTCTGGGACCGACCTGGAGGCCGGCAGCACATGGACGTTCTTTTTGTCTGACTGTGATCCCTTGAACAACTAGTGACAAGCACCGATGCAGGCTTTACGTGCGCTGGTCTATTCATGCTCCCCCAGCCCGGGAGGCGGGTACCACTGCGGATGAGAAAATGGAGCTCCAGGGAGGCCTGGCATCTTGCCCAAGGTCACTCAGACTCCACCGCCGCTCTGCCCCCATTCATCTCCCTTCTAGGATCTGAGATTGTCTTAGTGGAGCCAGCCCCATTTTCCCACCAGCCTTCTGGTCTGCCACCCAGAACCGTGGCCTTGAACCTTTCCTTATCTGACCCTGGTCTTTCTGTTGGGCAGAGGGCACTGTGGCTGGAGGAACCAGCTCCGGGGGCAAACAGTAGGGAACTGCTTAGTGACTTGCTTTTTCTGATCATAAAAGTAAGATGGACCCTGTGGGATGTGTGGACAGTTGGATGCAGGAGTAAAATCGCCATCCCCTGGAGGCAACTATTATTTTGGTTTATGTCCTTACTCTTTTTTTTTTTTAAACCTATTTGTTATCATTCTGCATCTACAACTTGAAAATCTGCTTTTTTCCATTCAATATTGATTAGGTGATTTTCATATCATTAAAACTTCACATGCTCATCATTTTTAATGGTTGGAAAATACTCTATTTATTCAACAAATATAAGTCAAGGGCCTGTTTGTTGACAGAGTCCTAACCCCTAACCGCTAGACTCTCATTCTGAACAAAACCGGATGTGGTCCCAGCCCTCAGGGCTGCCAGTCTGGTGGGGAGACTGAATGTCATGAGATCCTGTAGTGGGGGCCTGCCCAGGTCTGGGAGGTGGGGACGTGCAAGCTGGGGTCTGGAAAGTGATGGTTTACTAGATGAAGAAGGGAGGGTATTCCTGGCAGAGGGAACAGCATGTGTGAAGGCTCAGTGGCAGGAGGGAGTATGGTGAGTACAAGGGAGGTGCTGGGGTCCAACCCCAGCAGGTCCAGGGGTTCCCTATAGTGGTGGACGGAGTTGGCAAAGAAGGAATGACTAGGTTCTATGTAGGTTCTGTCTTCTAAGTTCTGTCTCTAGAGTTCTGTGTGTAAGTTCTGTGTCCTGTTGTCTTGTCGCATCTGTATTTATACCAGTTGATTTTAATCCTGTCAATTTCTATTACAAAGGTGAGGGCGTTTCTTATCTCCAGTCCAGGGAGTAAAGATTATGTAGCTTAAGCGTGATTGTTCGTAGTTAAAGTGATTAATTACCTGCCTGGCACTTAGTTAAGGGGTTTTATTCCCTCCCTAACTTAAGGGGAAAATCCCTACCTAGGGAAACAACCTTTCTCAGAGAGGTGACCTTGGTTAAAACACATAGTGCCAAGAAGGTGAGCAAACACATCAAGAACAGTATGCCATATATGCCAGGTACCTTGAAACAGCAAGGATGGACCAGCTCCCGGCAGGGAGGGAAAGCAAGTGAGTGAGGCTGAATATGACCAGTGGGAAGCATGCTGGTGAGATGGTGGACCAGGCGGGGGCAGCTTGGGGTGATGCAGGGAGTTTCACTGACATCCTAATAGCAGCAGGACGCCACTGGAGGGTTGTAAATCAAAAGGAATATGATAGAAGGAATTGGAAAAATTTCCTTAACCCATTCTCTGCAGTTGAAAATTGAGACTGATTTTTATGTTCACTTTGATAAAAGATGCTGTGATGAACATCTTCGGGCACAGATCCTTGCTCTGAGTATATTGCAGCCATCAAGGTCTGATGCTTCCATGTCATCTGATTGGCGCAGAAGTTGGGGAGATAAAAAAAAAAATAGCCAGAGGCCAGACTGGGAAATCTGGGTCCTGGGTTGGGTCAAGGAGAGTTGGAGCCAAAGGCTTGGGCAGTTGGCAGAACCAGGTCCCTGGCAGAGCCAAACAGCCAGCACGACAAGGTGAGGAAGCTGTGTGGTGTGGCCACGGGGGACCTACACAGGCAAGTCCAGACTCCCCCCCTGAGGTGGCAAACCTTCCTCACTCCTGGGAGGCTCCTGAGCAATGAGAAGAGGCCAGGCAGGAGAAAACAAGGCAGGAAGGACGTTCTAGGAGAGAACAAGCGAGCGAAGCCGTGAGGCAGGGACGGACTGGGTTTGTTAGGAAGGCAGGCGAGTCTGGGCGGAGAGGAGTGTGAATGAGGCTGGGGCGGGTGGCAGAGGCAGATGATGAAGGGCAGGGCCTTTGGGTTTCAGGGTGATGGGAGCTGTGGGAGGGTGTTAGCAGAGGAATGACGGCACGTACGCATCCCTCAGGCCACCACGTGCAGAACAGGCTGCGGGGGTTAAGAACGGCTTGGGGAGACCAGTGGCAATTGGTCACCCAGGCTAGGGTATTTGTACTCACTGCCAGAGCTCTGACCACCATACGTGGGTCATCAGGGAAGGCTTCTTGGAGGAAGCCTGAAAGAGCGTAGCCTGGACAGTGGGAGGATGTATTGGTGAGGAGGAGGACCGGCAGGCAGAGGAGTAGAGCGTGTGCAAAGACACCCAGTGGGCTGAGCTTGGTCGGGTGCAGGGGGTGGGCGGGATGACAGTGGCGGTGGGTAGCCACCTTTTGGAGAAGGGCACCAGCCAGGCCCGACCCTGACCCTCTTCTCTACTGGAGAGAGTCCTTTCCTCATTGCTCCCCCTGGTCAAGAGGGGCCTGAATGTGGCTCTAATCCAGATGTAATGTGCTCTGCCCCGGAGTGACTTAACCTCTCTGAGCCACTAATGGGAGCATAGCATCTCTGCGATCGCGTCAGTGAAGGAATGTGAAGTGCCTGCAGGTACAGAACTCATTAAAGAGTAATTTCTTTTCCTTCCACCCATCTGTAATCTCGTTACAGAAAACTGGAAAGTGATAAAAGAAGAAGCAGCCCTCCCCTGAACGTAATCACAGCCACCACTGTGACGATTTCCTTCTCGTCTTTCCCTGCTGCACATATTGTTTAGTCGTTAAATCATGGGTTGTGCCCGCATTTGCATCTTCCTGTTCCACCTTGGATGGTGCCTGCAGTGTCTTTGCCGTCCTTTAGAACAGCTGCGTCGTAGTCCCTCCAGGGAATGGGGATGGAGCACACGGTGTGGCGTGCTGTTTGCTTCCTGGTCACACTGCACAGTGGCCTGGGAGCCCTGAGGGTGGAGGCCAGTGGTCTGACTTGGACTGTCCCCCCCACACACACCCCCACCCCATGGGCTGTTCCAGAGAGAGGAGGTGCCACTCCATGAATGTCTGATTGATGACAGAGCCATGCCCCTGTACTCCACGTGGGCGTGAAAGGCTGCAGCTGGGCTTGGCGGTGCCCTCCCTCCTCTGGCACCAGCTGCCTTTGCAGACACCCAGGCTAGGGGAGAGCTGGCAGAGGCAGAGAAACCCTGTGAGAGGGGAAGGGAGATGTCTGCCACCCAGAGCTGCTTTGTCCCTGCTCATAACAAGAGTCTCTGGAGAGGAGGGGTGGTGGGAGCCGCAGGGCAGGGCCCCTCAGGCTGCCTCCTCCACCCCCTAGAACTGGCCATCTGCTCTCTGAGGTGCTGGCGGTGCTGTCCCCATCAGAGGCTGGGACCCTGTGTGAGGGGCAGGGGCCCTGAAAGACGAGCCTGAGGAGATGAGCCTGGTTGGGGATGGCGACAGTAAAAAGCTGGAATCTGTTTTGGGAATCGGGGCCGTGGCTGCTTCCCAAAGCATGAGCTCAGCTTCCTGGCAGAGGGTCTAGCCAAGGGCTGGGCCTGGACGGATGCCCCTGCCCCCTGCCCCGTGAGATGGAGGGCCTGTGTCGGTCCCAGGAGCTGTGACACACAGAGCAGCAGAACCAGGGGGCCGTTGTAGGGGGTCTCTCACACTAGCAGGTGGCCCGAGTAGGTGTGCAGGAGGGTGTCTGGGACATACCTGTGGGCAAAGGCCTGAGTGAGGCAGCAAGGTCCAGAGCATCCCAGCTGGACAGGATGGAGCACTTGGAGGCTGCTCTGATCAGGAGGTCAGGGAGGGTCTTGCTCAGGAGGTGACATGGGTACAAAGATCTGAGTGACAGGAGCCAGCCCGGCTGAGGTTAGGGGAAGAACATCAAGGCAGAGGGAATAGTGGTTGCAAAGGCCCTGAGGTTTGAGATGTCGGAGAACCAGAGAGCAGTGTGAGTGGGCAAGGAGGGCGGTCACTCAAGTCCAGGGCATGAGACAGGGCCCCAGAAGGAAGTTGGGGAGCTGTGCCTGGGGCCACCTGGGGGTTTGGAATCTATCCTGGGCCTGAAGGAGAAGGGGGTTCAGGCCTCTAGGCTGGCGGCCCAAGACTGCTGCTGGCATACGCTCTCCCTTTGGGTCAGGAGCAGCCTGTAGTGGTCGGCAGGGTGGGGGCTGCGGCACACTGTGAACAGGGACCCTTAGCCCTTCCATGGGGTTCCCTCCTGAGCCCCAGGTCAGGGCAGACCAGGCCAGGCGTCCCATTTGCTCCAATAGGAAGGGCTGACAGCAGTGGCCTGGGGCGAACTCTGGGCTGAGTGAAGGGACAGACCACAGCCACTGTCGCCCTCCCCTCTGCCCTTGCTCCGAGGGGGCAGGCAGGCCTTGAAGGACCTTTCCCATTCCTCACAGAGTGGTCCAGCCCCAGAGGTGTCCTCTCCAGGAGGGACAAAATTTGACACTTGCTATGTCACAAGCAGGCTCTGCAGCAGTCATCATTCACATTTCTCATTAACAACCCAGTGAGATAACTGCTCTTCTCTCCATTTTAAAGATGAGAAAACTGAGGCTTGGAGCTCTCAGCTAAGTTGCCCAGAGTTACAGGGCCAGAGAGCGATGGGGCTGGAGTTGAGACTCAGGCTAGGCTGGGTCTAAAGTTGGCTCAAGCCACTGGCATCTGGTGGGGTGGCTGGTGCCCCAAGTTCAGTCCCAGTTCTACATACTCAGCTCAGACCCCGGACAGGTGG